AAAAAAGGTGAATAATCAACCGTTAGCGCACCTACTGAGTTTTTGAGCTTATATGATAAGAAATATAGTAGCGAATACATTGAGTTACATATCACTCGATAGAGCAAAGTAAGATCTATCGATTGGTATATGTATCAACGCTGGCACAAAAGTGAATATGAATAAAAAAGGTAAATAAGCAATAATAAGTAAACCTATTTAGTTTTTGAGTTTATATGGTAGAAAATATAGCAGCGAATAAATTGAACTATACATGATTCGATAGAGAAAAATGAGATCTATTAAATGATATGCATATCAGTGTTGGCACAAACGTGAATATGAATGAAAACGGTAAATATTCAACAATATGTACACCTATTGAGTTTTTCAGGTTATATGATAAGCAATATAGTACCGAAGACAATGAGTTACACATTATTCGATAGAGGAAAATGAGATCTCTCGATTGGTGTATGTATCAACATTGGCACACAAGTGAAGATAAATAAAAAAGGCAAATACTCAATAATTAGTACACCTACTGAGTTTTTATGCTAACATAATAGGAAAATATACCACAAAAAACGTTCAATCATACATCGTGCGATAAAGGAAGATGAGATCTATCGATTGGTGTATTGATCAGCACTGGCACAAAAGTGAGTTTGAATAAAAAAGGTAAATAATCAATAAAAAGTACACCTGTTGATTTTTTCAGGTTATATGATAAGAAATATAGTAGCGAAGACAATGAACTACACATCATTCGATAGAGAAAAATGAGATCTATCGAATGATATACATATCAGTGTTGGCACATAGTTAAAAAGGAATTTGAAAGGTAAACTTGCGAGTACACAAGCATACCTGTTGGGTATTTCTTATATAATCGCTAAAAAGTATTATAGATAGAACTCACCCATATCTTATTTGATGAAATTGAACGAGTTCTATTGAATGATATCTATATCACCTTCACTATAAATTGTAGATGAACATCTAATGCAAATTATTAATAATAAGCACAACTGTTCAGTTTATGAGAGACGACGATTCAAAGAGGATTACAAATATGAACAAACTATAGTTCATTTTAGAGTGAATTTTGTTTAAAATAATAGAATTATATGAGATTTGATGAATTTTCAAGGTTTATACCGAATACATCCATGTTTGTGACTTGTAATTTAAGCAGCTGGCGCTACAATATGCATGAGAGATTTTGAAGAGCTTTTAAGTCCATTTTATGGATTCAAATATATTGAGTTATACATTATTCGATAGAGTTTTTCATTCTGAGTCAAATGAAATCGGTTTCAAATGTGGCACACGTTGTGAAGCGAATATATATATGAATATATGCTAAAATGGTGATTTTTGACGTTTTTCATACAAGTGTATTGGAATGGTTAGTTAACAGGTGAAAAGGAGCATATCAATCGATAGAGCAAGTCGAGATGCATAGGAATATATGTTTGTTTGTAAGTTTTAGTGCGAGAGAACGAATAATTTAAGGAAATACAGTTTTTACGAAATTGTTCCCATGGAGAAAAAAGACTTTTTGATAACTATGAAACGTTCCATGAGGTTAGTATAAAGTCTAAGGATACCGTTTGATAGAACTCGTCGAGTTCTATCTGGCACACAACAAACGATATGTGGCACACCTTGTCAGGCGAATAATATTTAGAAAAACTCGAATCCGCTGCTAACTTCATCTACATGACTTATATGCTTCTATTATCTTCAATCGAACGTTAAATAAAGTAGATAATAAACAATTCATTTGCAATTGTAGCAAACGTGGAACATTTGGAAAATATTGTCAATATAAATTAACGCATGAGAAAAAATATTTTAGTGAAACTGTTGACGCCCAGTTCCAACAGAGGGAAGAAACTGACTCATGGAATACTCAGCGATACGGAAAAATTCTTTGTTATGAGACGTTACCTTGTGACGCGGGTGATCTTTGTCTTGATTGGCGTGAGATCTGTGATGGTGTTCAGAGATGCGCGAGCGGCATAGATGAAGAAAACTGGGATAAATTAGAGTTTAATGAATGCGAAAATGATCAATTTCGCTGTACAAATGGTATGTGCATTCCAGAGGAATTTTGGCTTGATGGTTAGTTATAGAATTTTTTAAAAGTCTGCTGTAGATTACCAGTCATGCTATTTTCAGGGGAAATTGATTGTATGGATTGGAGTGACGAGCTTAACTCTGCATTTAAAGAACAATGTTCTTTCGAACCTAATGCCATGAATTGCGATGAACGCATATGCCCTCCAAAAATGTTTTCATGTGGCGATGGAGACTGTATTTTGTGGAGAAGTCGAATGGCATTTCAAAGAACAATAACAGTAGATCGTGACTGTTTCAACAAACGCAATCTGAATTATATGTGTGAAGTAGGTAAGCATAAAAATTCGTGGACGCTTGCAAATGGACTATGCTGGCCGGACAAAGACTATGAAGATCCACAGTATCTCTCAACGGATATGATAGAATCTGCGAATTTAACTGACGAGAAACAATGCGAATATTTAGTTCGATGTCTTTTATCAGATGGTCTTGAACGCAATTGTCCATGTAATAGTATGAATTGCTCGAAAATGATTACGCATATGTGTAGTGAAGATAAACACCGGATTTTTTATCCACAACGAAAACTTATTAACGCAAATATGTTATTCTTGTATAAACCTAATAACTCACGGGACAACATTGTGGATAATTTTGCTTTTGGTGGGAGTCTAAAATGTCGAGGGTTCCATTTGGAGATAGATTTTCGGTTTATAACAGATATTATGGAGGATGTAATTAACTCGCCTGCCATCAATATGATACTTTGCAATCCTCGTGTGTCACATCTCGGTCACCAGAACTCCACTTCACTGTTGAAATATGATAAGTTTTGTTGGAACAATTCATTCACATTTAGTAGACGTCGGTACGCTGTTGAGCCAGCAATATGCAACGATGAATGCATCTCACAATATCGAATCCATGATGGAATTTCAAACTGTTTAGGCAGGGAAGATGAAGTACGATATAGTACGAACACGTATTGTGCCGAAAATGTTGGTCGACATCGTTTTCAATGTTTTAATAGTCAACATAAATGTCTTTCTGTGCACTCGTTAGGTTCAGGAACCGCTGAATGTTCCAATAAATATGACGAAATGTGGTATGGTACTGGTAACTCTCTTGAAGAAAGTAAATGCCAAAAACATGATCATACTGATTGCGAACGTTTGAAACAATACATCAAAGAATCATCTATTAAAAATTTTACTCAAAATATTTCTATCGTTAGCGAACATCAAGTCACTAGTATTCGACAGATACCATTTCAATCATATTGTGATAGTTTCTGGGATTCGTATGATTATACCGATGAATCACCCTCCTTATGTAAAGATTGGTTATGTAAAAATAACCAGTATCAATGCAGAACAGGACAATGCATTGAGCTCAATTGGGTATGTGACGGTGAGTGGGATTGTGCCGATGCTTCTGATGAGGAGGCCATCGTTCTCATTAAAGAATGGTCACTTCATAACAGTCGTCTTGCTAATTTAAACAAGTACCGTCAAAACTGTACAGAAAGATATTCAAAAGCTCCGTTTTCCAACGAATGCAATACATCGTATGAGTTCGGTTGTTATCCATCTGGAGCATGGCATCTATCGGATATTAAAACCTATCGTCCCTGTGTGAATCTTACTCAAGTAGGCGATGGGATTCAAGATTGTCACAACGCATATGATGAGAAAAATACATTTCCATCGCATTTTCATCCGCTAGATATGTGGGGTTATAACTTTCGTTGTCGCCACTATATTGCTCAGTACAAATATACTTGCTATACTGCGAGGGAGTATAATTGTCCTACAGTTCTTTGTTCAGAGTTTCGAGATACTTACAGAAACTGCTCTGGGAGTAAAGATGTTGTTTGTCATATGGATAATAGTTGTGCGAAGAACGCACGCTGTGACGGGCAACCAGATTGCTTATATGGAGAGGATGAGTATTGGTGTCCTTCCCACTCATCTTCAGATAGTCCTTTTTATCGAGGCAGCAAAAATAAACAGCTGAAGGGGACTTCAGACTTCAGCTTTCCTCATAGATACCCGTTAGAATATATATCTATGACATCTAAAAGACGGCAAACACGAAGTTTGCTTATTGGTTCAGACCAGAAAGAATTACTTATCCGGTACTCTTACATATGTAATCGAGGTGTGGCGATTCTCGATGTAAATGAAATCCGCTGTCTGTGTCCACCGGCATATTATGGTCGCTGGTGTGATTTTTTTAGTGATCGAATCACTATCATCGCGCAAGTTGATTGGGAAACCTTTCCAAACATTTTACGTAATCACACAATAAGAATCAAGACAAATTTTCTTTTCGGTGATATGATTATCGACTCTTATGGTTTTGAAGTTATTGCAATGAACAAATATATGATGGATAGAAAACATAAATTTTATTTACTCTATTCACGTTCTTTTGAGATGCTTGAACATAAACGACAGCGATATTTCAATCAAAGTGATATTGAAAATCGCCATCCATATTCTGTTCATTTTCACGCCTTTGCATTTGAAACAAATCGAACCATGGTAGAAGTGGGCGTTTGGCGTTATGTGATCTTTTTTGATTATTTACCAGCTTTTCGCTTAGCAGTAGTATTGAAATTTCCATTTTGGTTAGGCAGTTCGGAACTTGATCCTTGTTCAGAAAAAAGATGCAGTCACAACTCGACCTGTATACCAGTGCTAAACCAAAATCGGTCATGCTATTGCGCATGTAAGAGTGGTTACTATGGAAATGATTGTTCTCTTCATGAACCACGTTGTGCGACTTACTGTTTACCGAATGCATTTTGTCAACCGACTTATGATAATACTGTAAAAAATAACTTGAGCATTGATTGTATCTGCCCTCCAGCTCATTTTGGACCGCGTTGTTATCTAAAAAACGACGGGTGTGAATCAAATCCATGTTCGAATAATGGTACATGCTCTTCGATTCATTACCAAAGCGCAGAGTCATCCTACGTATGCAGTTGTACAGACCGATTTTATGGTGAACACTGCAACGAAGAGAAAGCATCGGTTTATATTAATTTAAATACGACAGAAATGAAATCTATTCGCGCTGCTGTTATTCAATTGTACGACGTTGAGATTTCATCACTAAGGCTTATCATTCAACATCAAAAAGCCTATCGCGATATCCCTCTGAAGTTTACTTACTTTCACCCGAATGTAACTGCACCATACTTTGGACTTCTCAAACTTTACAAAGATGATGAAGATGCACAATATTTCATTCTCTATGTATCTCTTCAAACACAAATTAAAGTAAATTCTACTCCGAAACATTGTCCACATGTTTCATCGATATTTTTTAACGGTAAGATTTAACAGATAGAAATAAACTTGAGTTTTAACTACTTCTTCTTTTAATACAGGTCACAATAACTTGACTGTCGCTCAGTTTCATCGCTTATGTCGAAATAACACTGACCGGTTTTGTTTTTATGACAAAATTTATCTATGTTTGTGTGATACCTCAGATTTTCGACTCGAATGTTTTATTCATGACACTCGACTTGATCATTGTGATCGATGTCTATCTAGTGGAATGTGTCTTCGAAATCATTACAAAGATGACAATGAATTTATTTGTATTTGTCCTAAATGTCGTGAAGGACACCGCTGTGAACTAAACCTAGACCCATTTGTTTCCACTCTTGATGTACTTTTTATTGATATGCCTACAAACATTCAAATAGTCTATATGACCCTAGTTTTTCTATTTCTGATAGTGGGCTCGTTTAACAATTTATGTTCATTCGTCACGTTCAAGCGAGTTACGCCTCGAAAGTCTCCCGTCGGTAACTATTTGTTAATTGTTACCTTTCTCAATGAGATGTCTTTGCTCTGTTTGGTCTTAAAAACTATCCGAATCATGTTTGATCTACATAGCATGCACTTATGTAAAATACTTTCATACTTTCATTCATGTTTTACACGTTCTGCTTACTGGTTCTTAAGTTGGGTTACAGTTAATCGTTTACTCATCGTTCTCTTTCCAGCATTACACACCCGTAAGAGTAATCGTCAAGTGTTAGGAGTCACTGCTTTCACGTTAATAGTCGTTTTTGGTGTGCAAATTCACGAAATAATTTATTATACAATAGTTCTAGATGCCGGAACGAACTCGACTATCTGCGTACCGAACTTTGCAAACTCCTTTATCAACAAGTACAATCAGAGTTCTACGTTCATTCAATACATCGTTCCCTTTGTTATTCAAGTTATTTCGGTTACACTTCTAATTGTTCTGGCTGCTCGTATACGGATGAAGTTAACTAAAGATAAAACCCCGTTTACCCAAGTGCTGAAACGACAATTTAAAACTCAGAAAGAGCTTTATTCTACTCCAATAATTATTATTCTTTCGACTCTTCCTCAAATAATTCTTGAATTCAGTTTGGCATGTACACCACGAATCAACTGGCAACGGCACATGTTACTTGGCACGTATCTACTCTCCTACGCGCCACAAATGCTCGGCTTTATTTTTCATGTGTTACCTTCAACTAGTTATAAAAAAGAATTTAGTCAAACATATATCGGAAAAACGTTCTTTAGTTCATTTTTCTGAAACAAACTGTTGAAACAGGAATTAAGAAAACAATACACTGATATGAACTATGTGGCTTAATTTATCTGCTTTACTTTTTGGTTTTCCGCTAAAGGCCTCACCCTCAATAAAAAAAGTGTGTAGGTGCATGTCCGAGTGAGAGTTTGAGCGTTGGTGAGAGTGTGCATGCATGTCGCTGTGTATGTGATGGTGAATATAAGGACATGGTCGTACTCACACCTACAGCCATACCCAATCTCGCACCCACACCGATCCACACCCATCCCAAAAATTGTTTCTCTCTTGCGTTCTGTCGTTATAATTAGCTATGTTTGATGTCTAGCGTTATTATTGCTAGATATAGGAATAGACAAGAATTTACTATTGGAAAAAGAATCACGTGTAATGCAAAAATTGAATATAAAATAACTAATATTTTGATAAAAGTAAGCTGCCGTATAATAGAAAAGAGTAAATTATTTATTATTTAACAGGCAAAATGTAATACAACAAGGAAAATTTTCTCAAACAAAATGATGAAACAGACAAGTACATGAATATTGAATAAAATGGGCATGATTCTGTTGTTTTATTAGGATTTTTCTTATTGTTATATAGTAGATTTGATATTTGAATAAATTGTTTATTAGAATAGAAAAAAAATATTCATCATTATACAGAAAAACTGTCCATAGATAGATTATTACTAATATATGTGCCAGTTAAATCTTGAGGGTTTGGGTGTGGATGTAGTCAAAATAGTATTTAACATCAACCACATCCTATCATGACCATAAAGAATCTTGTCTAATTATCAAGAAAAACAAGAATCTAGAAAGACGAGTAGCAAGATCAACAGTTATTTTTTTCCATAAATATCTGCATTTTCCATAGAATGTATAATTCGATTTACAATATAAATGTACTTTCAGGAACTTCGAGTTGTACTAGACTATATCCTTTTTAATGGCTGTCTGAAAATGGAAAAACTTCTAACGCTATGAAATCATCCTAAAAGTATGGGTATAGGCGAGGTTTCATAACAATTTTGCACCCTTTTCCACATCCCACGTCCTAGATAAATGATAACAATACATAGACGATATTCATAAATATTTCGTTTTTGCAAATGTTCAAGATTTACTTTTTATAAGACATCTTTTTTTCATTTGTTTCGATCTGTATATGATTCGATAAAAAGGAAAAATGTCAGTTTGTGAATCGCTCTTTTCTACTCAATCGTTTTTCTTCAGAGTCACTCTATAGAATCATAATCATGACTCATAAATTAGTTATTGCACAACTTTTCTTTTTTTCTCTTCATTACCTTCAGCTGACAAACCAAAGACGCATATTTTGTGTTTTTTTTCTTCATTTTAGTTTGTAAACATAATGGAGTCTTTACCCGATGAAATAATCTTACTTATTTTTCGTTATCTACACAAATTCGATATGCTTTACTCATTTAACAATCTTAACGAACGTTTTCAACGTATAATCAAACCCTATTACATCGACATTGATCTCACACAAGACAAAATTTCCAATAAATATTTCCTATTATTTTTGAAACATATACTTCCATTACACAATCAAGCAATCCGAAGTCTCGAATTGAGTAGCGAAGAATTACTTCAAAATCTTTCTTCACATATGCGTCATTTGACTAACTTAAAATCTCTCACAATAGAGTTCGATAGATCCAGTACTTCCGAAGAACAAGATCATTTGATCACTGATGCTGCATGTCTTCCATCGTTATCTAAACTGTCCATATTTTTTGCTGGAAGACATCACAGTCTAAAGTCTATCTCTTTATCTGCACTATCTAACTTAACAACACTGATTCTTTTAACTCCAGGTGGTTTTCTTCAACTTGATGGTATTTCTAAAATGCCTTATCTGAAACGTTTGTCAATCAATATAATATCGATTAGATTATTAGGAAAACTATTCTCAATGACGACAAATCTTGAAGAACTCCATTTATCAATTTTATCTTCTATTCGTCCAAACTCTTTCAGTCGATTTGAAGTACCAAGAACATTATATAAATTACACTTAGAACTTGATCAGGATGATACACAAGAACAACAATCAAATTTTAATATTACAATGAAGTTTTTAGATATGTTTAAGGATAATCTCACATCACTCACGTTGATTGCTATTATAAAAGAAAAAAACTTCTCAGACTATGAATCATTTCATAGATTAGTGAATAATTTTACTCACTTAGACACTTTCGAATATTTTATTCGCACAAACCTTCCACCTAATTCATTGTTTACAAATATTCATGAATTACCAGATTCTGACTATATTACTTTTACTCTTCCACAACCTCAACCCTTCGACTATACAATGTGTCGAACAGCATTTGAACTTAGACTTACATCTGATTCACATATTACTTTATCACAATTACTTCATTGCTCTACGCTCTTTCTCTACGGTAACAACATTCCTAGGACTCTATCCAATGCATTGCAACTAAATAACAACATTACATTTCCATA